CGGGCCCAGAACACACTCCTGCTGGACTCGTCACGACCCCACGACACACTCTTGCTGGACTCGTCACGACCCCACGACACACTCCTGCTGGACTCGTCACGACCCCGCGACACACTCCTGCTGGACTCGTCACGACCCCACGACACACTCCTGCTTGGCTCGTCACGACCCCGCGACACACTCCTGCTGGACTCGTCACGACCCCGCGACACACTCCTGCTGGACTCGTCACGACCCCGCGACACACTCCTGCTGGACTCGTCACGACCCCGCGACACACTCCTGCTGGACTCGTCACGACCCCACGACACACTCCTGCTGGACTCGTCACGACCCCGCGACACACTCCTGCTGGACTCGTCACGACCCCGCGACACACTCCTGCTGGACTCGTCACGACCCCTCGACACACTCCTGCTGGACTCGTCACGACCCCGCGACACACTCCTGCTGGACTCGTCACGACCCCTCGACACACTCCTGCTGGACTCGTCACGACCCCTCGACACACTCCTGCTGGACTCGTCACGACCCCGCGACACACTCCTGCTGGACTCGTCACGACCCCGCGACACACTCCTGCTGGACTCGTCACGACCCCTCGACACACTCCTGCTGGACTCGTCACGACCCCGCGACACACTCCTGCTGGACTCGTCACGACCCCACGACACACTCCTGCTGGACTCGTCACGACCCCACGACACACTCCTGCTGGACTCGTCACGGGTCACACTGTGTTCTGACAGGATTCTGACAAACAACAGCATTACAGACACGAATACAGATGTGCTCAGTTATTCATATTGGAGCAGTCAGCTTTATGAAAGTAGCTGTGTGAACTGAATTTCACGTTAATGAAAATCTACATGTGAATTCTGAACACATGGATGAGATTCGACAGCCATATATGTACATTAATATGTTGAAAAGGATTGATGCATCTTACCGTGATGTTGACATGCAGAGCAATGCTGTTCTGCTGTTGCTGCCTTGGGCTGAATCAATTAAATCGATGTTCCAAGAGTCCTGTAGACATAAGAGAGTGATCATAATATGTACGGTTATAGAACGCTTGAAACAAAGTCTATTATCCTCAGTTGCAGAGTGAGGCCCATGGAAACAATGTAATCTTACACTTTGCAAGCCATGATGAATATAGAATGCAGTAAAAAAAAAAAAAAAAAAGGGGGTAAAAAAAGAAAAGCCTTTTCTTGTTCACAGTACTAGGGTTGGGTATCTTTTTAAATTTAACGATTCCGATTCTGCTTATCGATTTTGATTCTTATCGATAAGAGGAATTGAAATTAAAATTTTATAACAAGTTTTCGATTACTGACCTCAAGTATTCGATTCCAGTATTGGAAACGATTTTCGAATCCCAACCCTAACCAGTTTCTGAAAACAGACCTCTATATAAATCTATTGGTCCATTGTTAACTCGTAATGTGCTCAGCATTCTGCAACAAATATTTTAGACGTATTAAATATCACAGTAGCAATATAAGCCTATATTTTGAAGTGTTGGTGCTTAATGTAACACTATCTAGTGTAAATGATAAATCACGTTTGAGATTTGTGCTGGCTACTGTATACAGGCCACCAGGGCACCATACAGACTTTATCAAAGAATTTGCTGATTTTCTATCAGAGTTAATATTGGCTGCAGATAAAGTCCTAATTGTTGGTGATTTTAATATACATGTAGATAATGAAAAAGATCCATTGGGATTGGCATTTAAAGATATTCTGAACTCTATTAGAGTTAGACAACACGTGTCAGGACCTACTCATTGTCGTAATCATACTCTAGATCTAATATTATCACATGGAATCAATGTTGATGCCGTTAAAATTCTGCAGCAGAGCGATGACATCTCAGATCATTATCTAGTCTAGTGTAAACTTCATTTAGCCAACGACTCCGTGTTCCAAATATGGTAGACCTATCACTCCTGCCACTAAAGATTGCTTTATAAATAATATTACTGATCAGTTTTATCTCCTCAGCATCCCAGATAGCTTAAGATGAACTCGGTGTTGCAACAAACTATTGACTCTCTCTTTTCCAGTACTTTAGACACAGTTGCTCCTTTGCGCTTAAAGAAGATAAAGAAAAATAGTCCAACGCCGTGGTACAGCGAGCACACCCAGGCCCTTAAAAGAGCAGCCGGGCGACAGTGGCTCAGTGGTTCATGTAGGTTGTCTACAAACCAGAAGGTTGGTGGTCCAATCCCTGGTTCCACCTGACCAAGTGTCGAGGAGTCCCTGAGCAAGACACCTAACCCCAGCTGCTCCTGACGAGCTGGATGGCGCCTTGCATGGCTGACACCGCCATCAGTGCGTGAATGTGAGGCAAAAATGTAAAGCGCTTTGGTGGCCATTGGGTCTGTGAAAGCGCTATATAAATGCAGTCCATTTACCATTTAGCAGCCAGAAAAATGCAGCGAAAAAGGAAGAAAACAAAACTAGAGGTATTTCGCATTTCATGGAAAGAGAGCTCGACTGCTTACAGAGAGGCCTTAAAAGCTGCTAGATCTGCTTATTTTTCAACACTCTTAGAAGAAAATAAACACAACCCTAGGTATTTATTTGAAACAGTGGCTAAATCAACAAGAAATAGAGCTTCAACCCCAGATGTTTTCAAGCAGCACAGCAGTAATGACTTTATGAACTTCATTACTTACAAGATTGATAATATTAAGGAGAAAATTATAACTATGCAACCGTCTACCACAGTATCGCATCAGGCAGTGCATTGTAGTCTCCCTGAGGAAAAATTAGATTCATTCATTGCTATAGGAGAGGAAGAATTTTTAAGCTCGTTAAATCATCTAAATCGACAACATGCATGTTAGACCCTATACCGACTAAGCTAATGAAAGGGATGCTTCCAGATGGCATAGATCCTCTTCTCAATATCATTAATTCATCTTTGTCGTTAGGCTACGTACCAAAAACTTTTAAGCTGGCTATGATTAAACCGCTTGTTAAAAAAACGCAACTTGATCCTACAGAATTAGTCAATTACAGGCCGATCTCGAATCTACCTTTTCTGTCAAAGATATTAGAAAAGGCAGTATCCTCACAACTATGCTCCTTTCTAGAAAGAAATGATATCTGCGAGGATTTCCAGTCCGGATTCAGACCGTACCATAGCACTGAGACCGCTCTCATTAGAGTCACACATGATTTGCTCTTATCATCCGATCATGGTTGTATCTCTCTATTAGTGTTACTCGATCTTAGTGCTGCATTTGACACCATCGACCACAACATTCTTTTAAATAGACACGAAAATGATGTTGGCATTAGTGGAATTGCACTAGCATGGTTTAAATCATACTTAACTGACCGTTATCAGTTTGTAGCATTAAATGAAGAGATGTCTTATCGATCACAAGTTCAGTATGGCGTACCACAAGGCTCAGGACTAGGACCGCTGCTGTTCACTCTGTACATACTACCCTCACACACAGTACATGATGCTACCCTTGGGAGATATCATTAGGAAGCATGGCATTAGTTTTCACTGTTATGCTGATGATACTCAGCTGTATATTTCTTCAAAACCCAACGAAACTTACCAATTCACAAAATTTACGGAATGCATAGCCGATATAAAAAACTGCATGACTAGTAATTTCCTACTACTAAATTCTGAAAAAACAGAGATTCTAATTATTGGACCAATAACGTCCTCACGTAATAACCTAGAATACTGTCTAACACTTGATGACTGCTCTGTCAAGTCCTCGTCGTCGGTTAGGAACCTGTGTGTGTGTGTGTGTGTGTGTGTGTGTGTGTGTGTGTGTGTGTGTGTGTGTGTGTGTGTGTGTGTGTGTGTGTGTGTGTGTGTGTGTGTGTGTGTGTGTGTGTGTGTTCTTTGATACCAATCTTTCATTTGAAAGTCACGTGAATAGTATCTGTAAAACCGCATTTTTCCATCTTAAAAACAAATCTATAATACGCCATATGCTCTCGATGACAGATGCAGAACAGTTAGTTTGTGCGTTCATGACCTCAAGGCTAGATTATTGTAATGCTCTACTGGGTGGTTGCCCTGCACGCTTAATAAACAAACTACAGCTGGTCCAAAACGCAGCCGCTCGAGTTCTTACCAGAACCAGGAAGTATGACCATATTAGCCCGGTTCTGTCAACACTGCATTGGCTCCCTATAGAGGGTATGCGCATGACGTCACCGTCGGCCGGAGTGAATGCGGTCACGCCCACAAGTGGCAAAAAGACTGAGCGCCAGCATTTGTTTTCAGCGTGAATGCCGTGAAAAACACACAAAACACATCTAAAACGGGAAAGAGCTTTGCGATTGACTGTACAACTAGATTTGACCAGAAATCTGAGGTACTGTATATTTTTACAGACTGCAAAAAGCTACAGAATAGACTATATTCTGCATAATTGGATGTTTTTAAATAAACACTGACAAAAAACTATACAAGTTTTAGGGCTGGACGATATGATGATATACAGTATAACATTAATGTAAGTGATCACTCGGATTTAGACCTATCTATATTGTATTTATATAAAACGTTTACAGGCAAATTTTCTTCATTTATTTCCCCGGCGTCGAAATCAGGCACATATAAATGTCAGGAAACACGATTCCTGGCTGCATGTCAATATCCATGGATCACTGAATCTTTGATAAGTTGTAAGGAACACTATATCGAGTCCAACTTTTAATAATAGTTAGATAATAGTTTGTTTTACTCGCGTTAACGCAGTTTCCCCCATTAACTCCAGTCACGCAGCAGCTCTTCTGCCACTCAGTCCCGCTGAGGGGGGCGTGTTCCGGCGGGGAAGTGACGTTAATGCATTCCCTCTATTAAACATCGAATAAATTTTAAAATATTGCTGATTACTTACAAAGCACTAAATGGTTTAGCTCCCAGTACTTGAGCGAGCTCTTAACGCATTATAGTCCTTCACGTCTTTTGTGATCTCAAAACTCCGGCCAGTTGATAATACCTAGAATATCAAAAACGACTGCTGGAACTTGTTTCATGGTTTGCGTTCTCGAGCCGCCAGGCACTGTTGTGTGTATGAGCGGCGGGAGCAGGTTAAGGGTTTTCTGTTAAAACGATGTCGTGTTAGCGGCCCCTAAGTTAATAACTAATGATCTTTGCAACAGAGGTGAATCAATCAAAACTAACTTTATCTGGACAATAACTTTATTCTAGAGCTGCTGTAAAGCCAAAACAATCTCTATTACTTTAATTTCCTATTATCACTGTATAAAGCTGCTTTGAAACAATCTATATTGTTTAAAGCGCTATATAAATGAAGGTGACTTGACTTGACTTGACTATATTATGTAATATACGTGTATGTTGCATGAATAATAAATGTTCTTTCATTATCTGGAACATTGATGGATATTTCAAAGGGCTTTCCCTCATTTTGACCAATTGTGTTTCCCTGATTTATTATTTTTTTACTTATTATTTGAAATGATTTGTTTAGAATGTAAACTTACAAGCGTTTAATCCTCATTACATATTAGCTGTAGTAATGCTAAAGCTTACACTTGAACTATGACCCGGGATCTGCCCCACCTAAATTTATAGTCAAGAGCTGCTACTGTGCTTTATTTTATTCATTTAGGCCTATTGTTTGCTTGAAATATTAATATAATTAATATAATAAGCATCTACTTTTTAGTAGCCTAGTACTAAACATAGTAGTTGAAGTAGTAAACAGTGAAGTAAAATTTAAGTAAACGTTTAGCTAGGAGCCAAAGTCTTTTCTGCCACGTAACTTCTGCGACGCTAATGTTAAGTGTAGGTTATGGTGAAAATTAATGAGGGACAGACTATGGTTTTATGGCTTCTATGGTTTTACCAGATGTCACAGGACTTGTTTGTAATTGTAATGGCTGTATGTATGTATGTATGCATGTATGTATGCATGTATGCGTGGCTGTATGTACAGTCAAACCAAAAATTATTCAGACACCAGATATCATTTTTTATATTTTTTTTACTAGTGTGTGCAGGACACTATAGTTCATTTATGTAAGTGAGGGGAGCAACATATAGTAAACTGTGACATATTATTCCCAAGCATTCTTCATACAGTGACTACCAGTAAGATTTATAAAAACTTGCTTAAGTGTATTTTCTTTAATTGCTATTGCACATTTTTACACACAGACTGAACAACGTGAAGCATTGCTTGGTCACTGGTTGAGCTAAACTGGTATTATCTAATTGTGTAGTTAAATTTAACAGCTGACAGATATTCAACATAATTCATGTGTGAGAGTCTAACAGAAGGACGGACAAAACCAGTCAAATATCCACTGATCTGAGAACTGAGTTCTGCTCATGTTTATAAACTATAGCGAATAAACGCTGATGATGTGAGAAATGCTGAAGGTGTCTGAATACATTTTGGTTTGACTGTGTGTGTGTGTGTGTGTGTGTGTGTGTGTGTGTGTGTGTGTGTGTGTGTGTGTGTGTGTGTGTGTGTGTGTGTGTGTGTGTGTGTGTGTGTGTGTATGCATGAGTGCGTGCGTGCGTGCGCGTGTGTGTGTATGCATGTATGTATGCATGTGTGTGCGTGTGTTGTATGTAATCAGTGAGGATCTGTTACCTGAGGCCCGCGCAGGTGTTGTACAGGTGTTTTACTCACAGCTGCTTCCTCATTCTTCATGTCCACATTCACCTGCTCTTTCCTCTGATCGGCTGCTATTAAACCAGAGACGGGTGTGTATAAATCCAAATAATCCTGTTCTGAAAAGACAGGGACATCCCATCCATGAAACACATGATCCTCGGGTCTTCCAGCCGGATCTTCAGCACAAGGATCCATTGGATCAGAGACAGGGAGCTGTAGGCAGGCCGGTTTTATGTCTTTATGTCCATAAATATGTATGGCATTTCTTTATCTGTAAAAGAAGAAAGAAATCAGAATGCAAGTTTTAGCAGGTTTTCCTTTCACTCTCTCACCAGCGCGGATCTTTTAGTCGTAGCCTACTGAGTGAGATTGTGTGGGTCAGAATCGGAATAAAAGAGTATTTTGGACTGTTTTAGATTAAACGACTGGGAAGGAACACAAGCAGGAATTCACAGGCACGTTTCAGCGCGAAACTCTCGCGGACTCGGACTCTGCTCCTCCCACAGACGAGCACCTGTATGGAGCGCCAGAGAGGTCATAATTCTGCATTTCGTCCGAACGACTGTCATCTAAAGCAGTGGTTTTCAAACCCTGGGTCGCGACCCTCGGGTGGGTCGCGAGAATTAAAAAATGGGTCGCCAGTGATTTAAAAAAAAAAAAAAAAAAAAAAAATCCGTTTTCTAATTAAATTAATATTAATAATAATAGCTTTGAAACAACGAAACAAACTGAATGCTTCTCCTGACATGCGTGTTGCCCTCTCGTCCTGCGAACCGGCTTGGGACCAGATTATGCAGAATAAGCAGGCCCTTCTCATTAATATACACAAAACACGCACTCGTTCGCTCCACCCGCAACACACACACGTTCGCTCCATCGGTAACAACACACTAACACTCGTCGTTCCTTCCTAGGGCTGTCAAAATTAGGCTACTCAAAAATTACGTTCTAAAAAATCCCTCTAAAAAAACACTTATGCTATGCTATATTCGAACTATTCGAACATCTGGTTGTGCATTTTGTCAATGACGCGCATTACGTCAATAACAGGTCAAATTAATACAAAGAGACATAACTACTTGTTTAGGTAGTTTATTTAAGTTTAAACATATTTGACAACGTATTACCTACACAAAAACAAGTAGCCTAAATCAACTAATGGCCAAGACCGCAGACCTCACTCTCGCTAGGCACTCTTTCTCTCTCTCTCTCTCGCCCTCACCTCACGCTCTCTGCCCATAACGGTTTAAATGAACAACAACAACGATAAACAAATGTTGAGTGCTGATCAAGAGTTTTGTGCAAGCAATTTAAGGTCGTGACTCTTGTCCCAAATATAGCAGGCTTCATTCAGTGATTGAAACAAATATTATTAACATTAATTGAAGTTTTAAAGAACCGACATTGAACGCCCCGAGCGAGCTGTGCTGTGGTAAACATGGAACTTTTCCTTGACATGAAACGGTAAATAATCAAACCAGTGAAGCCTGCGATGCATGGAACTGCTGTATCTAACCTACCTTATTCATGCAATAAATAAGAATAAGAAATAAAAAACTTTCAGCTGTGCCAGTGCGACTCTTGTGACCTGTCCCTGATCCCTCAGGCAGCGCGCAAAGCAGACAGCCGCGCCTCTGATACCGCGGGCGTGTTTTTCCACATTCAAATATTAATTTTCACATTCGAAATTCTGTTTTTTAAAACTATTCGAATATATAGGCCTATTCGAATTTGGAATATTCGTTGACAGCCCTATTCTCATTTGAATTATAAATAAGTTTGCTTTTAAATTGTGTGTGATTTTGGTTGGGTGACAGTTAAGTTTGACAAGAGTTTACAGTTTGACAAAACCACAATGTTGTGTTTTAACAATGTTGTGTCGAGTGTACACAAGTATAAATAAACACTTTGCAGTTTGAATGATGTCCTGTATGAACGACGGAGTATATTTTTTGTTTCCAGTGCCGCGCCTCACACACACACACACACACACACACACACACACACAAATACACCATTCCAGGCTTGACATCGCAGCCTGTTCATTATAGCCGAAATAAAAATATGACAATAAAATAGTCAACCTAATATAAAAATCACACTGCTCTGTTTAAATAGTCAATTCGTACCATTCAGCGTAAGCACCGCTCAACCGTGATGTTTCCAAGCACATTTTTGCGCATGTGAAAAGGATGATTTTTTTCCCTGTCGATATTGCAGCGTGAGTGAAGTTGCTACAACGCCTATAATAAAGAATAGTTTACCATCAAATACATCGCGAATGTTAAAATATTTTGATTCTAATGAGAGAGTTAGGCTACGTGAGCATAATGCCCCTTTTACTTTCCCTTTAAATTATTTCGTTTTGGCTTGTTTAGTTATTATTTTTTTATTCTTGTTCTGTTCTGTATATAATTAATATTACATTTAAAGAGTCTGTTGTGGAATATGTTTTGTGTATTTGTACTTTTTAAGCATTCAGCAAATGATAAGCTATTTATTGGTTAAAAGTCCTGTATGTAGGCCTATAGCTTGATCAAATTATTTCAGAATCGACTTTGCGTTGCAATCACGTCAAGGATCAGCAAGTGCACGTGCATCATCAAAAGTAAAGTGGTTAAAAAAAGTGCTTAAAGAAAGGTTAAAGAAAAAAAATTCTGCGCACAAGCCTATGGGTCGGGTAAAAAAAAAAAGAAAAAAAAAAGGGCCCCTCTTGAAAAAGTTTGAAAACCACTGATCTAAAGCAAACTTATAACATATTTATAACGGTGATTAAACCCAAAGTTAAAGTGGGTGGGAGTAATGAACACAATGTGCTTGTTTTACTGGTGCAAATGGTCCCCATCTGTAAATATGCTCTTTTTAAAAATACAGCACAATTTTATAATTTACCTTATATTATTACATTCATTACCTTAGTATGTTGCACAGCACAGGATCAAACTTAAATCGCATTTAATTATTACTTTTAAAGATAATGTAAAATACCAGTAAATAGAATTAAATGTTTAAAACATTAAACATATATTTTAGTTCCCCTCACTCTACAACAAATCCTTTTTTAAGTTAAAGGGATACTCCACCCAAAAATGAAAATTCTGTCATCATTTACTCTCCCTCAAGTTGTTGCAAACCTGTATGAGTTTCTTTATTCTGCTGAACACAAATGAAGATATTTTGAAGAACGATTGGAGCCAAACAGAAAAAAAATACAATGCAGTCAATGGTGCCAAAGTTCCAATCGTTCTTCAAAATATCATGCTTTGTGTTCAGCAGAAGAAACAAACTCAGAAATACAGGTTTGCAACAACTTGAGGGTGAGTAAATGATGACAGAATTTTAATTTTTAGGTGGAGTATCCCTTTGACTGTACTCAGAACAAAACAAGATGTGAAAAAAAACTAAAAATATTAGTAGTCTATAAAGTATACGAATTATAGTGGCATTTTTTACAAACAACATTTATTTTAAAGCCTTAATGTATTTATTTAAAGCTAAACTGAAATTGGCATTGAGGCCCTGCGCATCTGTGAAGTTGCTGATCTAGTTATAAACATACATCTTTACATCTACCTTGTTTAATTCATTCAAACAGCAGAGTAAATACAAATCAGTCTTTGATCCCGACGTTTGCTTATCTAGTTATAGGGTCTAGCAATAAGGGTTCCTGAATTTCATTAAAAACTTGTGCTCAAATAAGGGTTTGTTTGACCCCGACGTGATTTGAACACGCAACCTTCTGATCTGGAGTCAGACGCGCTTCCATTGCATCACGAGGCCCTGCGCTTCTGTGAAATTGCTGAGCTCGTTATAGGGTCTAGCAACAAGGATTCCTGAATTTTATTAAAGACTTGAGCTCAAAGAAGAGATTGACCCCGACGTGATTTGAACACGCAACCTTCTGATCTGGAGTCAGACCCACTACCGTTGCGCCACGAGGCCCTGCACTTCTGTCAAATTGCTGAGCTCGTTATAGGGTCTAGCAACAAGGGTTCGTGAATTTTATTAAAAACTTGAGCTCAAAGAACAGATAGCTTGACCCCGACGTGATTTGAACACGCAACCTTCTGATCTGGAGTCAGACGCACTACCGTTGCATCATGTGGCCCTGCACTACTGTAAAATTGCTGAGCTCGTTATAGGGTCTAGCAACAAGGGTTTGTGAATTTTATTAAAGACTTGAGCTCAAAGAAGAGATAGCTTGACCCCGACGTGATTTGAACAGGGAACCTTCTGATCTGGAGTCAGACGCGCTTCCGTTGTGCCACGAGGCCCTGCACTTCTGTGAAATTGCTGAGCTCGTTATAGGGTCTAGTAACAAGGATACATGAATTTTATTAAAGACTTGAGCTCAAAGAAGAGATTGACCCCGACGTGATTTGAACACGCAACCTCCTGATCTGGAGTCAGACGCACTACCGTTGCATCATGTGGCCCTGCGCTTCTGTAAAATTGCTGAGCTCGTTATAGGGTCTAGCAACAAGGATACATGAATTTTATTAAAGACTTGAGCTCAAAGAAGAGATAGCTTGACCCCGACGTGATTTGAACAAGAAACCTTGTAATCTGGAGTCAGACGCGCTACCGTTGCGTCATGAGGCCCTGCACTTCTGTGTAATTGCTGAGCTCGTTATAGGGTCTAGCAACAAGGATTCCTGAATTTTATTAAAAACTTGAGCTCTAAGAACAGATAGCTTGACCCCAACGTGATTTGAACACGCAACCTTCTGATCTGGAGTCAGACGCACTACCGTTGCATCATGTGGCCCTGCGCTTCTGTAAAATTGCTGAGCTCGTTATAGGGTCTAGCAACAAGGGTTCGTGAATTTTATTAAAGGCTTGAGCTCAAAGAAGAGATAGCTTGACCCTAACGTTATTTGAACACGCAACCTTCTGATCTGGAGTCAGACGCGCTTCCGTTGCGCCACGAGGCCCTGCACTTCTGTGTAATTGCTGAGCTCGTTATAGGGTCTAGCAACAAGGGTTCGTGAATTTTTTTTTAAAGACTTACGCTCAAAGAAGTGATAACTTGACCCCGATGTGATTTGAACACGCAACCTTCTGATCTGAAGTCAGACGCGCTTCCGTTGCGTCATGAGGCCCTGCACTTCTGTGAAATTGCTGAGCTCGTTATAGGGTCTAGCAACAAGGATACATGAATATTATTAAAAACTTGAGCTCAAAGAAGAGATTGACCCCGACTTGATTTGAACACGCAACCTTCTGATCTGGAGTCAGACGCGCTTCCGTTGCATCATGAGGCCCTGCACTTCTGTGAAATTGCTGAGCTCGTTATAGGGTCTAGCAACAAGGATACATGAATATTATTAAAAACTTGAGCTCAAAGAAGAGATTGACCCAGACGTGATTTGAACACGCAACCTTCTAATCTGGAGTCAGACGCGCTACCGTTGCGTCATGAGGCCCTGCGCTTCTGTGAAATTGCTGAGCTTGTT